TGCCCGGAGCTCCCTTGCAGCCCCCAACACTCTGATCTTAAAGCCAGTTCCTTTGTTCCCCCCCAGAAGCTTCCCAAAGACCTCAGGAACCCCTTTGATTTTTTTTAAGAAACACTTCTCCACAAAACAATGTGAGGAATAAGAGGAAAAGCATGGCCCCATCACAGAGCTGTTACGGGCAGAAAAACAGGCCTGTGTCCTGCTAATTCCATCTAGGTTCCAGGGAGGACAGCGGCGCAGACATGGGGTTGGGGGCACCGTGCGAAGCTCCGGCTCCTGGTGGGAAGTCTACTCTTTTCTCAGGACCTGGTTCTCAGCACAGACCAGTGATGCCCCGGGCGGATCTAAGGACCCTGCAGCAACCTAGGATGTGGTCAGACCTTCTGGCAAACTCCAACCACAGGACACTTACAGTCAAGCACATGAAAGTGAAAGGAACCTCGAGAGTCACCTGGACCAATCTATCTTTCATTATAAATGTGGAAACTCAGGCCCAGAGGAGGTCACCTGACAAGGCAGCTGGGTTGTTCCAAGGCACATAATAGCTCAAATGTTTGAGCACTTACTGGGTGCCTGATACTGTGCTAAGTTGTTATTGCTGTCCTTGCTGTTCACACTCACAGTGAGGTAGGTACTGCTATGATCCCTGCTTTACATGAGGAACCTATGGCCCAGAGAGGTTGAGTCACTTGCCTAAGGCCACACAGCTGTGACGAGTAGAGCCAGGTTTCTAATCCTGATCATTTTACCCCACTGCCCCTGGGCTTCTTCACATCCTGCTGCATCGGGACTGCAGGCAGGACCTCTGACCTCGCAGCCCAGTAGAGCCACTTCCATCCTGGGCCTGTTAAGCCCGAACATGATCTTGGTCATCTGAACCCCACCGAGCTCTTCCACAAAGAAGCCATGAGACCTATCACCAGCAGCCGGTCTTGCCTGCCCTCACACCTGTGAGTCCTTCTTCTGTCGCTGAGTTTCTCACCCCCTCCTTCGCCCATCCCTGACCCTACACCAACCCGACTGGCTGTTCGTTCTTCCTCAGCTTTAGTTCAGATGTCACCTGTTGAGTGAGACATCCCTCTTTTAGTGTCTATTACTGCCCTCTCTTTGCTAACCTTACAGATTATAATCATATATCTATGTGTTTATTTCTGTATTGTCTCCTCCCCCAGATGTCTGCCAGGCACTGTGTTTGATACGAAATAAACGCTCAATTAGAGGTCATTCAATAAATGAGTCAATGAAAGAACGAACTGAAAATTCTTAATTCTTCTTCAAATACATGTCTGCCAAAATCTCTCACATCTTGTACTTGTCTAAGTAATTTTGTTAAACCTACGTAATCCAAAAGTTTACCTAGTCCTTGGTAATTAGGACTGTGTCCTTCCAGGTCTTCTATTCTATGCATTATAGTCAAATGTATATGTAGTACCTATATATGGGGGGGTCCCATTTGTACAAAAAAGAAGTGATTTAACTTTTATATAATAATTACCTTGTGTGTTCTATATGTTCTATATTATATGGATTATGTTGCATAAATACATATGCCCACAAATACACATGATCCTAAAGAAGAACATACTGTATGCATTTTTTTTTTTTTTTGGAATTTTCTTTTTTATGTAATCACACACCGTGAACCCACACACACATACACAAATATATCTATCACACGTTGTTAACTACATGTCATTTTTCAAAAATAAGAGTACTCGCTCTTGATGGAATATTCAATAGTCTAGGGATGGCCAGTAGGAAATATGGGGACCCAGGCACCCCTTCCCACCATTCCACGCTTCACAGGCCAGAGGATGTTGTGTCCCGGATGGGAATGAATGAGAATGCATTCACGAAGGGACGGGAGCAGCCCAGGAGTGGGTGAGGATGGAGCAGGGGATGTGGAAGACAGTGTAGACCAGAGCTGGATGGGAACAAGAGAAAGGCAAGTAGAAAGAAAAGTTGGGGACCTGTATCTGTGTTAGTAAATCATAGCAATGGGGGGTCAGAATGTGGGGAAGGGAGCTAGAGATGACCCCAGTTAGGGACAGGAAGTCAGAAAAGATGGGGGCCCCTTGAGAAGAGAAGCATCATGGAGTCAGTCCAGCAGCAGCCTGGCTGAAGCTGCCCCCCAAAAGTTTCCCCTTTCCCCTTGAAGAAGGTGGAAGACATGCCTCCCAATGGTTTTACCACCTGGTTTCCTACGGTCCAGGAGCATTTGCCTGTTTCCAAGTGAGACTTGTTTATGTCCATTCTGGAGTCTTAGAGTTCAAAACAAACCCAGACAAAGGGCCCCTCGGCTTTGTGCTTCTCGGTTCCATTCTCCTGCAAGGACAGAGCCAAGATTCTGCTTTCCTGATGACTTTCACAGCCGGTTCCACTGAGAATCCCACCCTCAGCTTCCTCCTGCGTCTTTCCCGCCTGCCTCCGATTGTTGTGGACATCCTCACCGGTACAGCTTTTTTAGCTCCTTTTAACCCTTTTCTTCCTAGTCTTATAATTATGTGCACTGTTTCCCCAACAGAAGCTAGTTGGGGCTTTTAGAGTGGTCCAAGGCTCAATGGTCTCTTCAAAGAGCTGAATTCATCAGCAGCCAGCTGGATTTATTATTTAAAAAGAGCCCTAGACAAAAAGAACTAGTTGGGTAAGCTCCCTGCAGCTCTAAGGCATATTTTCATGGTCGCCACGCTATGGAACGGCTCACAGGTCTACATAAGTGGAAAATGACAGGACCGTCTCTGAGGGTAGGTGGGTCTAAGTAAAGGATGACACTGGTAATTACCATGCGTCACTGTCATTCACCATTATACCCAACAATTTTAATACAGCCAACAATTGTGAGACAGGTATCATATTATACCCATTTTACAGATGGAGACTCTGAGGCTCATAGAGGATCTCGTCCAAGATCACACAGCTAGTAACTGATGAAACTGGGGTTGAAATCAGCCAGGCTGGAAACAGTCCCTGGCCCCTTCACCACACCATCATTGGATTTACCTAATATTTATACTTTGCTTAGTTAATTACTGTCTTATGCTCCCGGAGGGCATGGTTCTTGTCTGTCCCATTCACCACTATCTCCCCAGTAGCTGGCACAGAGCTTAACACAAAGTAGATATTCAATAAGTAATTTCTGATGACTGACTTAATGGATGAATACCAAGCTTTTATCTGACTACGCCTTGTAACTGGAAAGTTTCTGAACACAGAAGTTTTAGGCGATTACCAAATATGTTCACTGAACAGTCTTGTTAATTTTACATATTTATATTTAACTTACCTAAACCTTCTCCCAGGAAAAAAAAAAAAAAATCTTTTTCCAAACATTAGAACCTAGGAAGTTGAATGCACCAGGAGAACCAAATAAGGAATCTCAATCTGAAAAGAGATCTTGGGGGATGATTCAAGTATTTATCATTTAGTAGGTTTTCAAAGCTATTCTAGGCCTCTGTCCTTCTTAGTAACAAATATTTGTCTGTGAATGATCTGGGATAACTGTTTAAACTGCAGAGCAAGTACTCAGAAGCCTGGTGATCTGCATTTTTGCAGATATCTTGGGTGGTTATTGTACAAACTAAACTTCGAGAACCACTGTAGGAGGTTTAGGGTTATTCCCCCTCCACTGGAAACAAATCCTATTTAGCTATCAAAATGTGTTTCAAATCCACTGACGCTTCCATTTTTCTGAAGATTCTTTCATCGCTATCACATCTTGGGGTCATGGCCATTTCCATTTTTTCCACCCCGTGGAAGGCAGAAAGATTGTGTGTTCCTAAAAGGTGTTCTTTCCAAGTTTTAAAAGGGTGGCTACCTACCTCAATATCCTGTCATCAAAGACACTGGTGCGCTAAGTCACTCTCGCACGAGACCAAGCTAGAAGACCAGGTCCAGTTCTGCCACGAGTTGCTGTGTGTCCTAGGGCAGGTAGCTCAGCCTCTCTGACCCACTGTTTCTTTGTCTATAAGTTGGGGTGTGAGCGTTTGCAGCTTTTTCATTCGATACATGCTCTAACTGCAGTCATGTCATAGACAGGGATCATGTGTCTCCTCAGTCTTGTTTTTCTACACTCAAAAGTCATGCTTCTGTGGTCATAAATTAGGTTCAGAGTTGACAAGGTAAGTAGCCAGGGGAACATAAAGAACCCCACCCCACTGAATTAATGACTCAAAAAAAATCAGAATATAGGTTTCTATAATACACACCCAGGTGAACTGAATACAAAAACAAAACTAAACAAAACACTTCTGAACAGGTGCTACTTGGCCACACAAAAACTGGGTGGACCTGTGAGGCTGAGTCAGAAGGCCGCATACCTGCTTGCCTCAGACAGGGAAGTGTTTCAAGGTGGGGGTTCCTTGACCTTCCCCCCTTAGGACTGCACAGTATTAAATCTAGAAAAGAGCTGGAGCATCTGTCAACTCATATTCACTGATACCCACTGTGTGCCAGGCACTGTTCTGGGTACTGGGGGCCTCATAGTGAACCCTACTGCCAAGACCCATACTTTCACAGTGCTAACATTCTAGTGGGGAAGAGAGATGATAAACGATTGTAACAAATGAAGCAGTGATAAGGGACATAAAGGGGGGAGATAGTAACATAAGTTAGGAGGATGGGAGAATCCCCCAATGTCTCACCTGCTGGTCCAGCTGCTCCCTTCTACACAAGAGGCAGACCAGGCAGGGACAGCAGTGACCGGGTCAAGCCCAAGAGGGATAGAAGAAGAGTTGGAAGTGGAAACGCTCTTCCTACAAAGCCCATCCTTTCTTCACAGCTTCTCCCAATATACTTTATTTCCGGTCAGTGTCTAGCCCTTAGACCCTGAGACCGAGGGAGGGAGACAAGAACTCGAGCACCCCGTTGTTGGCCCCACGACACAAGGGTCCCCTGCATCCCCCCCTTCGGCATCACACCCCAGCACCCAGGGAGAAGCCCGGGCGGGGCGGGGCCTAGACACGCGCCGGCGCGTCCAGCAGGTGGCAGCAGCGAGCGGCCGCGCCCCCCGCGCTGCCACCCAGCGAGCCCGCATCATGGATGTCGAACTCTCCTATTTCGCTTTGCTCGCCTTGGAATTCGAGTCCCCAGACGAGGACCAGGATTCATGAACCGGCCGCAGGGGCCCGGGCAGGGGCCTCTGGCTCCCGACGCTGGCCGAGAGGTGGGTCCCGAGGCGGGTGGCTGCTCTCCGAAGCCGGGCGGGGACGCGCTGCCCGGAGGAGCCGGCGCCCCGCGCGCTGCCCCCGCCCTGCCTCCCTGTGGTCCACACCCCCTTTGGGCTCCCGAGCCTCTGGGCTGGAGTAGTTGAGGGTGCGTGCGAACAGGCGCTGCCAGCCCCGCTTCTGCCTCAGATCCGAGTCCGAGGGCAGCGAGACCGGGGCACCCGTGTTCTGCCCGCCTCCGCCGCCCCGCTCTCACCTGCGCCTCTTAGTCCGCTCGCCTTCCAGGCCAGTGGCTACAGCCCAGGCGGAGGGGACAGCAGAGGGGGAGAGAGCACCTGAGGATACAGAGCTGGCACCGGCCTGCCTTTTCACCCCCCAGGTGATGAGTGAGGTCGGAAGATCGGAAGATTTTAAAAGCAACCAGGGCCTCCGTGTTGAATGAAGGACCCAGTTCAAGCAAAGGCATCACCATGAACACGAGCAGTAAGTGGGTCCTCCTCTCCTTTGCTATGGGAACAGGGTGGGGGCGGGAGGTGCAGGAGCCTGCGCCAGGGCTGCCTGGAAGGACGAAGGAAACCTGGCATCTGGGTGGACACATGGCCCCCAGACTCCTTGGTCCTTTCTGTGTCCCCGGCAGGGGAATAGGGGTCTGGCGTTTCATGATAATTTTGCTAATGTTTCATCGGCAGCGCCACTTGCCTCTACAAGGAAGACTGCCTGTCTCCTTCTAGCAATGCCTGGGAAGGCCTCGGGAGCAGTAGTGTGGCCATTGTCTGCGGTGGGGGCTCTGAGCAGACCTCTCCGCACACAGCTGGAAAGCCATGGAGAGCCTGGCTTGTCCTGGGGCTGGGAGGAGCAGGGAGGCTGGCCCTGAGTGGGTGGGTCTGGAGACTGTAAAATATTCCCCTCCTGAGTGCCTGCAGCCCCATGGGCCCGAGCTGATTTCTCCACATAGCTATAGGCTTTTTAGCCATGCCCGGAAGAAGAGAAAAGAGACAAGCCCTTTGGCCAAGGTCTCTAACATGCCAGAGGCAACAACTGCTTTGCAGAGCCAGGACCAGACATTTTGCTACCAGGCTGGGCCCCAGCTGTTGAGAAATACAGCCAGAAATACAAGGGGGCCCACTCCATTTCTGGTCAGTGTCGTCCCTTTGACCATGGGCACCTGCTGTGGCACCACCCTGAAGGGGAGGTCTGGGTCAAGTCCCCCTCCTGCTCCCTCATCAGCTGAGCGTGCTGGGGCATTCCAGCAGCAGCAGGTGGGGTTATTGAACCTGGGGACCCCTAGGAACCTTCACTTCCTTGGGTCTAGGACTTTCCCAATAGTCTTCTTTCTGGATCCCAGACTGTCTGTAAAATGAGAGGGGTTGCATTAGAGACCCTTCTCATCTAAGAATCTACAAGTTTCTTCTTTAAAAAGCTAGAGCTGAGCAGCAAGACCAGAAAAAGCTGTACCTTCTGAGGCTGTGTGCAGACCAAACCCACTGTTTCCTTACCTTCCCTCCATATCAAGGCTGTTGGCAAGGAAGAACGGAAACAGGGCGAAAGCCACCAAGATGGAAATGCAGTATATTCCTTTACTACGTGTTTGTATGCCTTCCTTTGTGTAGTACGTAGCTGTGCCAGGCAAGCGAGTAAGGCTGGACGCCCTATGCCTCTTTCAGTCAAAGAACATGATGTTGTCCGTCTGGAGCAGGGCTTCCGCATCGCAGCCATCGGGGAGAGAGCAAAATTCCGGAGCCCCGATCACTTACGGGGCCACATGTTTGAGCCTGGTGCTTTCGGACAAATAGAGATGTGGGCAGCCTGTCACTCCTCACTATCTCTAGCAAAAACCGTGTTTATCAGAGTCTTTTCTCACTAGATGACAGAACAGAAAGATGGCTCATCTTTTTTCCAAGGAACTGAGAGATAAGGGAATAAGCCACTGACCCTGCCCTTTTCTCTCTCTGGAATTGTAAGGAATTCGTGTCCTGTTAGCAAGGCTGAGTATTCTTGAAAGAACAAAACAGAGATTTTACTTTTTTAGGAAATGACGACCAGTGGGGTTCAATACTGCGGAAGATGAGGAGTGACAAAAATGTCATTCCGGCCACTTTTTCTAATTAGGGAGAGTGGTGGAAAGTGAACAGAATAGAGTGACTTGGACAGCTTTGGGGATCCCTGAAGTCCTCATTAGAGGAAGTGCTACCTGGGGCAACACGGTGGAGAGACTGACTCAGGGCTCAGGGGCTGGGCTTCATCATCCCTGAGGCTCCTCCCAACCCTGAAAGCCTGCAGATGGAGAGAGCAGAAAGCAGACCTCACTGGGGTGACGGAGTGATGGGGTGATAGGTTCATAAGGGCATGGGAACAGGGTGTTGACAGGACATCTCTGAGGCTAAGCAAAAATGCCCTCCACTTTGGGATGTGACATTCTTAACTTAATCCTCAGGCCTGAAATTGGACCCAAAAGAAACTCTTACTTAGTTTTTCTTTCACTTCCATTTACTGGGTCCTCACTCTGCACCAGCCACTGTGCTGAGCATTTCACCTGCACTGTCACCCCAGATTCCCACAACCAACCTGTGGGGTTGCATTAGCACTCTAATTTTATACATGAAACCTTCTAAAGGTTTACAATAACTTCTTCAAGTCATGGAATTAATCGTTGGATTAGGAAAGGTTCTTGGATGCATGACATTTTGACAGTGAGTACCATTCCTCGCCCATGGTTCAAATGTCACCCTTGACGCGGGCGCCAAGCACGTGCTTACTATTGAGTTCTAATCACTTCATCTGCAGAGGAGGATGAGGGGCTGCCATCTTGGGACAGTGTGTTGGAGTTGAGAGAGCTTGGTCCCTGGAGTCGGGTCATCCTGGTTCTAGCTCTCCTTTTTCCGTTTATTAGCTGTGTGGTCTTCAGCATGGTTGTCTTATCTGCAAAATGGGAATGATGGGCCCTCCCTCAGTGTGGAATGGACATACAGGTTAATGTGTTGTGTAAAAGTCACTGTGGATAGCTGGCCTTATGTCAGCGATGGTGGTCAGATTGTCATCATCACTGCAGTGGTTGTTTTGGCTGTTGCCACTGTTGACTTTATGACATTGGCAAGCATGTTGACATTATGACATCGCGCAACCTCTCGGACATCATACCTTATCACAAATGGAGAGGAATTCCAGCAGTGTGATTTTCGGGATCAAACTGGATTATGAGAAAATGCTTTGTGAACACATGTATATTGTTTTTATCAATAAGAAACACGTCTCTAATGGCAAAAACAGGGGAGTGCTCAGTCAGCGACACCTCAGTGTGCCCTTTGTTTCATGTGTGTGCATTTTCCTTTCTTCTGAAATCTAGGAGGAATTTGAGAGAAAGGAGTACTTTTGGAGATGATGGGGTGGGGTGGTGATTCAGACCTGGCAGAATGTAACAGGTGGGGTTTGGCCCTTGGAGCCAATGAGGGAGGGGAAGGAGGGCTCCTCGCAGGGAGAACCAGACACCAAAGGCATGAGCGGGACACCCAGGACTCAGGAACCCTGGGCTACTGAGACAAGACGGTACAGTCCCACCGGCAGAGAGCTTCGGGGGAAACAGCAATCACCTCTACCTCGGCCTCTGTTGGGAAGGTCTGCCATCCAGCCTTTCCTTCCCCCTGCCTGCACCTAACTTAATTCCAAGGATCTGTCATTTGTCTCCTGACCTACTGAGGCAGCCCGCCAGCTAGTTTCCCGGCATCCACTCCAGCCCCCTCCTTTCTCCCCATCCACCCTCTGCATCACACTCTGCTTAAAATGCGGAGCCCATTGCTCTTAAGTTGCGAGAGGAAGCCCCTCAGTGAGACCTGCAGCGTCCCAGGTGGCCCAGCCGGCCTTGCTCACAGCCCTGTCTCATCCACACTGCACCACTCTCCTGTCCTGTGCCACCTCCCTCCACTCCCTCTGTGCGCCTGCTCCTGCCTGCTTTGCACGTGTTGTTCCTTCTTCCTGGAAGCCCTCCCCGTTCCATTCCCATTTCCACACCAGCCCCTCTGCCACACCCACACCCTTCACCCCCTGCACCAGCCCCTCTGCCCACGCCCACACCCTTCACCCCAGCTGGCCTCCTCACCCAGCTAACATCCCCCTGATGTATGCTCTCCATACACCTTGACCCTGTTCCTTCAGACCTTGTCTCTGTCACCACACACTCATCCATGTGATCACAGGCCATTTTCCTGAACCCACACAGCAAGGAAGGAGCTGACCCCAGATCCCTTGCTCGCACACAATCCCCAGAGCCATGAGGTCACCTCTACCTAAAGTGCATATTCTTAGGCAACAATACATTTTGGGTTATCCTTGTCAGTGTCTCCCATTCCCACATTGGCCCCAGGATTTCCCAAGCCCCTAGGTCAAAAGCCAGGGGAGACTGTTGACCCCAGCGTGCCAGAGGCCGAGCACCAGAGTCAGTTCTGTGTCCCATAAAATTCTGTGCTCCTTACTTGGGTCGGAACTCACAGAGCTCGTGAAAGTTATGGCTTTCCTTGGCACAAAACCCAGCGCTGGCTCATCCTTGGGGTTGAAGCATCATGCACACCATGTACAATGGTGCCAAGATCCATCCTCCCTCATTTCATCTGCTTCTTCCTGCCCTTGGGCCCCTTCCTGGTCTCTATCATGGACTGGCATGTCAGCAAGTTTTGTTGATGAGAGTATTGATGGGTCATACAACCCCCACAAAGATGTCATGGGGTAAGCAACACCATACTGGGGCGGTAAGAACCTGTGCTTTGGGGTATGGATTCCTGAGTTCAAAGGCAAGACCTATGGTGATCTCCGTCTGTGGTCTTGGACAGGACAGATTGCATCCCTGAACCTGAATTTTATTGTGTATAAAATGTGAGCAGTAATGCCAAGGTACAGGATTGTTGTGAGGACTGGGTGAAATAACACGAGAAATTCACTGGCACCGGGTCTCAGGGAATGGGAATGAACCGAAAGTTGAGTTGGCCACTGACAAGAGCGAAGCTCTGCAATGACAGTATCATCCTAAGAGCCAAACCCTCTGGTTGGAAAGCAGCCAGTTTTGCTGGTGTTGTAGCCAGCACCGGGCTCTGTACCTAGGAAAGCCATAGCTCCCAGGAAGATGATTAACCTGGTGTTGTAGGTGACGTGAAAGGGGCAATGCAGGAAGTTAGGATCCGAGGTGAGAGACAACTACACTAGTTCATAAAGTCTGAGGGCCAGGATTTTGATGGTTGTAAGAATAGAAATAAGGAGGGAGATCCTTTAGAAAATAAAGCCTGCATAGCCTAGCATCTGGTTGGGTTATGTGTGAAGGAGAAGAGGTGTCTATCATTTAGAGTTCTGGCAGGGAACAGATGGGCAATTTGAAGGGAGTCTTTGCAAGTGTGCGAGAAGGGTGTAGAGAAACAAGGAGAAGCAAGGATGGTCCATTACTAGGAGGCTAGTAACAACAGCCCATTACCACTCATGCCACAACTGTTCCCAGGCCTGAT